CCTCTCATTTTCCTGAAATTTTATTGTTTACTTTAAACTAATATTGAAATCTGATTGGTTGCTTTGTTTTACTGTCCCATTCTCAATGGCTGAGAAAAAGATGCGATTTAGAGCAAAAAATAGTGCGATTCGTGAATAAATCGCACCATAGGGTAAGGGTTTTGGGAAGTGAGCCGCACATCCCCACCCAACTTTTCTGGAAAAACTCCCTCACCCCCCGCCCCCCCCCCGGGGGGGGGAAGTCAGAAGAGTCTGACTTTGAGAGTCTGAGAGATGTTTCTCAGTAAAATTAAAATTTGTAATTCTATTAGTATTCAATTTACGTCCTACAACAAAGAATACCGATCAGTAGTCATTACAAACTAACCAAGACATTCATTTTCTACGTTAATGTAGCAATGTCACTGTGACGTAGGGACAGAGACAATCGAAATACTTTGAGGGACGTATTTTCTTAGTTTTCTTTTTCTTTTTTTTCCCCTTTCATTCCATGAATATTATCACTGTTTTAGCCTGTCATTAATTGCCTGAAAAAAATAATTGTATAATTAATATTACCGTTCTTCAATACAGAATAAAAAACTTTCATCAACGAAAGGTTATTATCTGTAGGTGCCACCGCATTCTTGTCATAACCTTAAATTAGCTGTATAACCAAAATAAGATATTTTGCTTCGACATTAGAGTAATATCCCCGTAGCTATGTGTCTCTACAGCAAATTCAATATCCTACTATATCGCTCAAAACAATAATTACTGTACGACGTTTTTTCGTTGGTATTTTTATTATCATGCTTTTGAAATGTATACAACCAATTACTTGATATATTTCTTTGCAGACCCTGTGTAAAATGGATCTGAGTTGGTGCATTAGTCATGCGCAGGGAATTAAAGCACAGGCTGGCTGCTTTTGGGATTTTGCCAAATGTCTGAAGAACCAAGGGCCCACTCCTGTCACGAATGCTCCAGAATCTCGTGCAATTATTGAACCTACTCGTGGCCCATTTGCGGTATGTTGGACAACGCTTGGCTGAACCATTACAATTTTTATATATTCATTTACACAGTATCAGTGGGGTAGTGGCTTCTACGGCTAACGGTTGATATGTTGGCTTTTATTTTCTTTAGGGTCAACAGATATGTAACTGTGAAACATTCCGGAACGAAAAAAGGTTGTTACTATCTAAACTATTGACTAATATAGCTTACAAGCCACAATCCATGACTCATGAAAGTCTTGAAAAGCGATCTTGAGAATTCGTGGCTAAAATCTTTTTACGATTAGTATTTTTTTTTTCTTTTTTCTCTTTTCTTTTTTTTATTTTTTTTTACAGCTAGCGGTTTAAATTGTCCAATTTTTACTCCTGACGGCTAAATTTGTGGCCTGTTCTACGGCTAACGGTCACCCCACTGAGACCAGCCAGTTTAATCACTCTAATTTTGTATTCGGTTTCTATCTGACATTTGACCAATCATTTGTGAGGATAAGACAAGGAAAATTAAACTGAAAACTAGTTATTTATTTTTATTCTTAGCAATGCCAATTCGATTTGTACGACTGCAACAACAAGGCAGATAAGACAACTGCGGAATGCTTGACTGACTACAAGACATGCATGTCTCAGTTGATTCCTCCTTACGTGGTAAATATGTGTTTGAAATGTTAGCATCAACAATTTTTTATCCAGGATTTTGATGATGTGAAAGCATTAAACTATACCGATTTGGTTCCGCTGATCGGTTTTTCAGGTTGAAAATACTTTTTGCTACTATGATTTGAGAGGACGTCCATCCCTTCTATTTTTATGTTTTAGACCAATATCATTACATCTATTCCTTCGCCTTGAACGCAATTTGTAACAATCGATGTTTAAGACATGACACTGCAAAGTGCCAAGGTTAGATACAATACTTCTTTATAGGAGAGCTGGGTCCCACGGCACGCGTCATCACGCCAGCGTGCCTTACTCCTGCAGAAACAAAGTGTTAGGATTACTTTCCGACAACTTCCATTCTTTACTCGTTTTCTTCAATTCGTTTTCTTCAAAATCGAAAGGGAATTTTGTTTTTCTGGTTCTTTAATTGAATTTGCCGATTTTGAGACTAATATATGTAAATATTGTTATGAAGATGTGAAAGTTTTAAAGATTCAGAAGATTTTAGTGCGGCTAAAAAGTTGCTGCATGCTATATCGATTTTTTTTCCAAATTTCTGTCATAAAACTCTGCACTTAAACAACTTTTGTTACAAAATTTGCAATCCTACGAATCGCATCTCTCTGCAGTTTCGATTTCTGGCATCATCCATTTTGTTCCCGAACAGTTTTTTTTTTCTTTAGGAGCTGGAAAGGTCACATGACAAAAAAACAAACACAAAGAGCTTTTTCTTCAACTCTGCCAGGCAATATAACAGGCTTTTATTTCCAATATATAAATTCAATGCTTCAAAACTAATTTATCACCCTCCAACCAACCTCACTGAAACATGGTATTGTAATACGACTGTCACATTTTATCGAAATTATCTCGGTATAGCAAGTCTTCTATTTTTGGTATTTAATTTTAGAATGTAACAATCGCTAGTGCTAGCTCTGTCACTCGATCCATGGGTATTTATTGAATAGGAATAATTATAATTGGCCCAAATTCTATTTATTATTGTGCTGTTGTTGGTGTTGTTGCTGTTCTTGCGTTGTTGTTTTGGCTTGTTTGTTTTTTGTTCGTCTATTGAACGTTTCTGAATATAATTGTTATATAACGATATGCAATTTGACTCGGTTATTGCTACGTCATTCTGAGCAATTTTCTTTACGCTAGAGCCAAGGAGGCTTGCATGTAGTTCTTAATTAAATAGTTGTGTAGGAAACTTAACTTAAACTGCTAAACAATGAGCTCTATTCTTTGATGATCGTTTTCCTAATTTTGATCTTCTTGTGTAGCAATTCCTCCACGCCGTTTAAACTGAACTAAATGTTCTTATGCGCCTTGAAGTTAATTCAAGCAATTGATCGAAGGGGTTTTGTCATTACATTTTGCAAATTCTTTCATAAACTTCATGAATTATCCCTATGAAAAAGTATTTAAACTTGACGAAGTTCATGATTGTTCTCTATGAAAGAGTTTTGAACTTTCGCTTGATGATCCTCATAAGACAACACTCGCTGCCGTTCACATCCGGGTAACCCTTGTCACTGTAGCTTTCAATGGCCGCCGTCAGATCTCGCCAACGGTCATTAAATTCTTGCAATTCTCCTTTAACAGCTTTCTGTGATGGTCCATCAAGAATGTTACAGACGTCTTTACCCAGACGATTAACACGATCTACCTTGAGTTGCATAGAGGGCCTTTCTTCCAACTTAATCTACAAAAAAAACAAACAAACAAACAAAAAACAAGAAAGAAAAAAGAAAATAACTCGTATTACATGTTTTTATCCAGCTTCACCCAATAGAGTACATGTAATCCGCGAGACGAGAACAAATATCCCGACTTACATAATGTTCGAGGAACCAGTTTAACAAGTTATCTGTCCACGCTAGAGCACAAAATATCTTAAAATGTGATTTTCGCACAAGAAAACTGGTGTTAGATAATAATTCCCATTTAATACATTTTGCTGTGTTGCAGAGCAGTGTTTTCCTCGCCCGACGGACTTGCTGAACAGAACAACTAAATTAGTTAAATAAGTTACATATATTTTAGCGATCTCTATTTATAAGCTTCAAATGAACTGTAGAAGAGGACGGGATATTCTTTAAGTACCCTGAAAGGGAACGTTGTTTCATAAAAAAGAAATTAACAACTTTTCGACTGCAAAAGAGTCGCTAAAAAAAAAAGACCTTTGTGTACTCAGCTGAACACGTTCGGGTAGTAAACTCTGATACAACCTTGTACTTAAAAAGCACACTGATGCGATTTGTTGGTGCTTGATATAAATTACCACCGTAAATCCTCGAATTA